TTCCATTAGGACTTGAGGTAGCAAGTCCTTTTCCGGGGTTACTTCCTTTCTTCTTTTAATGCCACTAGGACCAGCTTGAGAGTCACTGGGCTTCTGTCGCACAACATATCTGTCCATAGAGGCCTGTACCTCTCGTTCCTGTATGACTTTCCTAAAGTGCTTCACAACAGTGTCATTGTACAGGTTGCTAACACGGCTTGCAGTAGCTGTGTGAGGGTGATTTTCATCAAAAAGTTTTGTACTTAAAGCCATTTTGCACACATTTCCTTAATCTTTGAAGTACGCAACTTCAATTTCTCTATCCCCTCCTCCGAAGCAGTTTCCTCAGGTCTGGCCTCTTGCTGTTGAAGATGATCTAGCAGTTCATCAGTGGTTAGTTCATCATTGTCCTCCTCCACCAACTCTTCCACATCCTCCCCACTAACCTCCAACCCCAAGAACTTCCCCAATGCCACAATGGATTCCTCAACTGGCATAGGATTCCCAGGGTTAGCCTCAAACCCTTCGAAATCCCTTTTGTCTACACATTCTGGCCACAGTTTTTTTCCAGGCAGAGTTCAAGGTCCTCTTAGTCACTCCCTCTCAAGCCTTACCTATAAGGTTTACACAATTGAGGATATTAAAGTGATCTTCCAAAACTCCCTTAGAGTCAATAGAGTGTCTGTGGTCACTTTAAAGCACCTTTCAAACATAGCTTTTGTGTACAGTTTCTTGAAGTTGGAAATGACCTGCTGGTCCATGGGCTGCAGGAGAGTGGTATTAGGAGGCAAAAACTTCACCTTAATGAAGCTCATGTCCCCAGAAAGTTGCTCTGCCAAGTCTGTAGGATGACCAGGGGCACTGTCTAATACCAGGAGGCACTTAAGTTCTAATTTCTTTTCAATTAGGTAATTTTTCACATTGGGGGCAAATGCATGGTGTAAACAGTCATGGAAAAAGTCCCTAGTGACCCATGCCTTACTGTTTGCCCTCCACAGCACACACAAACTAGCCTTGAGGATATTCTTTTGCCTGAACGCTCTGGGAGTTTCTGAGTGATACACCAATAAAGGCTTCACTTTGCAATCACCACTAGCATTGGCACACATCAGAAGTGTAAGCCTGTCTTTCACAGGCTTATGTCCTGGGAGTGCCTTTTCCTCCTGAGTAATGTAGGTCCTGCTTGGCAAAATTTCTTCCAAAACAGGCCTGTTTCATCGCAATTAAACACTTGTTCAGGTTTCAAGTCTTCACTGTCTATGTAATCCTTGAATTCCCTCACATATTTTTCAGCTGCTTTTTGGTCCAAACTGGCAGCCTCACCATGCCTAATCACACTATGTATGCCACTACGATTCTTAAATCTTTTAAACTAACCTCTGCTGGCCTTAAATTCACTCACATCAGCACTAGTTGCAGGCAATTTCTTTACCAAATCGGCATGCAACTGCCTAGCCTCTTCACAAATGATTGCTTGAGAGATTCTATCTCCTGCTATCTGTTTTTCATTTATCCACACCAATAACAGTCTCTCAACATTTTCTAACACTTGCGGTCGCTTTTTTGTAATCACAGTTGCACCTTTTGCAACAACAGCTTCCTTGGCTGCCGTTTTCCTGGTCACTATAGTAGAGATGGTTGATTGGGGTTTTGTATACAACTTGGCCAGCTCCGACACACGCACTCCATTTTCATACTTTGCAATTATCTCTTTCTTCATTTCAATAGTCATTAGCACCCTTGGTCTTGAAGGGTTGGCACTAGCAGCTTTCTTGGGGCCCATGGTTACTTATTTTGCTGAAACAAGCACCAAAAACACTGATAATATGGAATGTACCGAATGTATCCCTAGATGCGAGCACACTGGCTGGCTTGTAAACACTGACACACATGGGGCAGTTCAGGACACATGTGGACATGTCTCGGACGAATCGCGTATACAGGGTTTTGTAACAGGAACCGAGGCAAATTTTTTTCGATACAATGAATCAAATACTGGATTTATTGGATACCGATGGCATCGCGAATCGGGGATCCACTGCAATGTATATTAGAGTTGATTTCCTCTATTCTGTAAATACTTGGTCGACACACCCCCTACCCTTCCTAAAGCCTCCTTGTTCATCTGCTATCCTGCTCTCCATCTTACTCTTAATTCTTTCAGTAATGTCTCTACCATTATATTATAGACATTTTCATTAATCCCTATACGACATTTTTTTCAGAATTGTATGATAAATGTGTTACATATTGTATACACCAAATACAGTGGAACCCTGGTACTTGAACACTTCCCTACTTGAACAGTTCAGTATCTGAAGACTGTTCGGTTAAAAAAATCTCTCGGTAGTTGACCGTTTGCTTGGCACTTGACCAAACAAACACGACCTGCAGGAACTTTGCTGTAAATTATTTCATGTTTCTTCACATTTTTTGGTGTTTTTTTATACATATAATTTATATAAATAAGTCACCATGGGGCCTAAGATGATTAGTGATAACAGCCAACCAGAAAGGAAATTGGTTGGGAAAAATTCACTCAGTACTCGAACAGATCAGCACTTGAACAGCCTTCTGGAATGAATTAGGTTCGAGTACCAAGGTTCCATTGTATATACAGCCTCTCCTTACTTAACGACAGAGTTCTGTTCCTAAGACCACATCGGTAAATGAATTCATCACTAAGTGAGGAGCATACTATAATGATAGTGGGTTTGTGTCAACCATCTTTGATATTGTTTTAGTGGCACCTCAGCACCATTTATAACATTTCTGGTATATTTTTAAATGTTTGTACAGTGGTGTATGTACTGTATATTGTAATGAAAAGAATAGAGGAAATCAACTCTAATATACATTGCAGTGGACCCCCAGTTCGCGATGCCATCGGTATCCAATAAAGGATGTATGGTTTACCCAAGACCCATAAACACAATATTCCTCTCAGACCAATCACATCAGGAATAGGCAGTGCTCCACACAAACTAGCCGGAGTTCTTGCCAAACATCTTTCCTGCCTTCTGGGGACCATCAGCCCCGCTCATCTTAAACACTCAGGCGACCTTCTCAACCGCATCCGAAACCTCTCCATCCGTAACAAGAAACTAAGCAGTTTGGATGTGAGTTCCCTCTTCACAAAAGTACCTACCAAAAAAGCCATCGAGGTTCTACGACGTAAAGTCAATCAGGACCTTAATTTTCCTCTACCTCCAGGAGATTTTGTTGACTTGATTGAACTCAGTGTTAATTTCAACTGTTTTTCTTTCAATAACAAGCTCTACAAACAAACCTACGGCATGGGAATGGGGTCCCCCATCAGTGCCGTCCTAGCCAACTTATACATGGAACACCTAGAGTCCGAACACTTCGCCAACATCATCCCTTCTAGCGTCACTTGGTTACGTTACGTGGACAACGTCCTCGTAATAACTCCCAAACGTTTTGATGTACGGAATCTTCAGGCAAGGCTCAACGCAGTTGAACCGGCGATCCAGTTTACACTAGAAGAAGAGTCCAATGACAAGCTACCTTTCCTCGGCGTCCTCATTCACAAAGTAGACAACAACCTAAGATTTCAAGTTTATTGGAAACCCACCAATAAAAATGATCTCACACACTTCTATTCCAGTCAAGATACAAAGACCAAAAGAGGCATCATCATCGGGTTTTTCCTAAGAGCATACCGAATTTGTAGTCCTGAGTTTCTTGACGAGGAATGTACATACATTCACTAAACATTCACCAAGTTACAATTTCCTCCTTTTTTCATCAAAGACTGCAAGAAAAGAGCTCTTCAGATCATTAATTCTCCACGCATCAACACCGCTCCCAACAAAGTTATAATTCTTCCCAACAGCCAGGTTGCACTAAACGTCTCAAAAGTACTTTCACAAGCTAACACCAGAGTCGCCAACGCTTCTAGCACTTCAATAAAGGATCTAACCAGGACAAAACCCAAGCACCACGAACCAGTCAATGCAGGAGTTTACACTATACCCTGTGGAGGCTGTGACAAGATCTACGTAGGTGAAACAGCAAGAAACCTCGACACCCGCCTCAATGAACACATTTACGCATGTAGGAACGATAACTTGAACAACGCCTGTGTACAACACCGAAATTCCACCAATCATCTCATGAAATTCAGAGACGCCCAATTAGTGATCAAAGAAACTAATTTCCGCAGACGCAAGTGCCTCGAATCAGCACTGATCGCTGTTTCGATTACAATTAAACAAAACAACGGCAGCTTCACCATCTCCGAAGTCTTAGCAAGAATCCTCCTGAAAACAGTAAACCCTGCCATCACATAGTCTCTCCTGTTATACTACACAAAGCACATTACAGAGAATGAACACTGAAACAAGCTGCCTCTTTCCAGTCTATATTTGTCCAACCTATTTTTATGTTACCCAAGTAATAGCTTTTATATCCTTTTACTCATGTACGAATTAATTGCTCTACCATATTGTATTATTTTTGTTACTACTACTACTACTACTACCACTAGTGAACATCGAAATGGTACCTCACTAGTATTGCACCTCACTCAGAGCCTTTATATACCCTCTGTGTCCATGTAATGTTTGTAATGGCTTGACAAAGCTCCTGGAGAGCGAAACGTTGCCACAATAAATGTCACATTAGTTGCACTTGTGTCCTTTTACTTTACATATTGTCGGTAATTCTACCAACTTTATTACATTTTGTGTATAACTGACCATTTTACCTACTTCTGTGCACTTTACTGGGTCATTCTGAAAATTGAATGAACAGTGTCTTTGTCCTCAATCAACAAAATGTAAGGCATACTAGTAAAATAGCCAGGAATTTGGTCATTTTCACATTGGAATTTGCCAAAATAGGCCTCAAATTTGGCAAAATTGCTTATTCATAAATTGCACCCAGACTGCCAACTTTGCACCTGTGTAATATCATAAGTTTTCCAACAAATTGCACATTTTTATGTCATTACCTTCAGAAAAAGATATTGTAATACTATATACAATACAAATACTCACTGCGCCAAGGTCTGCATGCCAGCTTCTGTGTTAGCCACTTCATGTTTAATCTGATGAAGTTCCCTTTTCAAGCGACCCACACGATTTCTGGCCATGGCCACGTCTGTCTTGAGCAAGTCTGGGTCCCATCGGCCAGCCCCACTTCCACCCGAACTTACTGTTGGTAATTAAGCAAAGTAATGAGTATATGCAGCTTTCAAGTAACATATGTTGAAGAATAAACCAGCCATTTATAAGATATAGTATTGTCAAAGAATAGTAAAAAAAGATATTTTATCACAACAACCTTCAAATTCACATCAAGTTGCAGCATTAAGAATATTATGATAACCCTAAACAAATGCCCAAAGTGAGAGAACTTACATGAGGATCTTGAGCTGAACAGGTTGGAAAGTGTAGTGTTGAGGTGATGGTACTCATCTTGAGCCAGTGCAAGTCTCTGTGCTTTGACTTGCATTATGTCTTGCTTGGCACTGAGGTCGTTCTGTGCTGAACACAGATACTCAGACAGCATGGCCTCCTGAACTTGCCGCCACGCTAGTCTGGGGTCCTCAATTTGGTTTTGTTCTGCGTAAATTAGATTTTCCCGCTAAATTAAAATGATTATTACAAAATTTCACATCTTTCTTCTTTCAACACACCAGCCGTATCCCACCGAGGTGGGGTGGCCCAAAAGGAAAAACAAAAGTTTCTCCTTTCATATTTAGTAATATATACAGGAGAAGGGGTTACTAGCCCCTTGCTCCTGGCATTTTAGTCGCCTCTTACAACACGCATAGCTTACGGAGGAAGAATTCTGTTCCACTTCCCCATGGAGATAAGAGGAAATAAACAAGAACAAGAGCTAGTAAGAAAATAGAAGAAAACCCAGAGGGGTGTGTATACATATGCTTGTACATGTATGTGTAGTGTGACCTAAGTGTAAGCAGAAGTAGCAAGACGTACCTGAAACCTTGCATGTTTATGAGACAGAAAAAACACCAGCAATCCTACCATCGTGTAAAACAATTACAGGCTTACGTTTTACACTCACTTGGCAGGACGGTAGTACCTCCCTGGGCGGTTGCTGTCTACCAACCTACTACCTATAAAAATTTCACATCTGGTTCATTAATACAAATAATCAGTCATTTTTTTAATAAGGGAAATTACCCATGAATAAAACACGATCTGCTTCTTAACTACCACTAGCACTTTAAAAGGGTGAATTGTAAACAAAATAATTGTCTCAGAAACCAATATACGTAAAAATCAGAGGTAAAATTGCAAAAAAGTTACATTCCTAAGATCTATGAATTTCAATATCTATACTTGAATTAAAATTATGCTAAAATATAGTTAAGCAGCATGATAATCATGAAACAACTTGATTGAAAATACAATGGGTACAATTAAGGCAAACCTGAAAAATAAAATTTCAAGGCAACCAAGGAGTACACATGGTTTATGAGAACACACTTAAAATGAAACTTGTACTCACTGTTAATGTGATCAACATAGTAGACACCAATCTGGCCATCGAAGCACTCTTCCCAGCCATAAGGTAGTTCATGGCCTACACAGTCAGCAAATGTCTGAGCTTTGGTGTAGCTGAAAGTATTAAAAATTGCATCAA